ATAGTTTCGTGCTCCCCCTCTTGGGAATGATTTAAATTTTTTCACTATGGATTTGAACGTCGCGACATGATAATAATATTATTATTATTGTAAGCACACACACGACACTTACACACACACRCAGACACACACTTACACAATCTCGGCTGGCTATCACGTCCGGTTGATCGTCCAGCGATGCCCGTCGATTTGAAATTCGCGATCGTCGACGGCAACAAATCGTCCGCGACGGCGGAAGAGAACCGTCGATGATCGATAGGCGTACGAGCAGCAGCAGTTGTACGGATCTCGTGGTAAGTCTCGGCGACACGGAGTAGTGATAACCGCTCYCGGCCATATCCTCTTATTGCGTTCTTTCGTCATCGTCGTCGGTTCCACAATGTCGCGCGCGCGTGACTCACACACGTCATTCTGTCATTGATGGTGGGCCCCGTCGTGTCGCCAACACATTGCACACACGGCCCGACCGTGCCACACCGCACCCTCGTTCCGTCGGTCCAACGACGAATGGTGGTCCGACCGTCGTAGTGGTCCCGTACGACTGACCTGACACTGCCTGTTTTTTGTCTGTTTTTCCGACACGGGTGCAGACCAATATGCCGTTCGCACCACCTCCTCCGCCGCCGCCACCGACTTCAACTCTGTCGGGCCCACCTCCACCGCCACCGCCAACGTTTGGCGCCGGCCCGGGCAAGAAAGGTGGCAACCCATTGCAGGCCAGGGACCAGCTGCTGCAGTCCATCAGGCTCGGCAAGCCTCTGAAAAAGACTGTGACCAACGACAAGAGCAGTCCGCTCATCAACAGTGAGTACCTACTAGTGCAATGGTGTGGCCTACTCGGTCGCATGTCCTTTTTTCATTTTGCTCTAGGCCATTGCATWGTTATTTGACCACAACTTGTGTTCAATAATATTGTTCTCTGCCGTAATGACTTATGCTACTAACTGTTTTAGTTAGCCTATTGATCGGTGTTATAAACGAGACTCAATAACACAAATCATGCCTGTAGCATTTGATTTAGTTGCTTATGTGAAACGTTCAAGTATGATTTTTAATAATATAGATTCACCAAAAACACCTGTAAAATGTAATGGTACTGTAAAAAACGGAGAAATGAGTTCTATAGCTGCACGAACACCTAATGGCCTAGCAGAGTTGTTTGCAGGAGGCATGCCTAAACTTAAGCCAACTGGATTAGCAACAGGTATGATAATACTCTGATAAAATCAGAAAATTTGAAAAATATGAATGAAATACTGTACCAGATCAGTGGGACAGAAAGACAAAGTACTTACTAATTGATACTATTAGAAAACCTAGTTCTAACTTATATGTTGTAAGTTCCTTTAATAATTTTAAAATGCATTGGTTACCTGTCTAGTAGCAGCTAATGAGCTTACTTTTATTAGCTTAAGCTTAACTGTGCTTAGTCTTACTGTYTCATACTGTGAAAACTATCAAACATGTAACTGAGAAATCATTTAATAGTTAAATGTAGCAGGTACTTTCTACTTATTAATAATTTTTGTTAATGTATGGGTTCTTAGAATTTTAGATCCTATTTTTTTAGGGTTATGAATTGAAAAGTTATTTAACTTTACTCACTAATATCTACAGTAAAATAAAATAAAAAGCTTTATCAAAATATTTAAATTGTTATTGTAGTCCAAAGATATACTTAAATATTATGTTTAAGGATTTTTATTAAATGCTCAGAATAAAAACTTTAGTCAAATTATATTCTGTTAATATCTAAGCTTTGTAAGATGTTTATTACAATTATTTTCTGTTACTTTAGATTATATTTTATTACTTTACCTAACATTTAAAATGAAAAACATTAGATTCATATTTTAACTTATTTTTTATTTGATAATAAATAATTATTCATTATTACATCATTACTCTACTTTATTATTATTATATTAGCGATGCAGAGTATATTTTACTTGCAGATATCAGTATATGTTCCATATTTAAAATGTAATAGAATTAATAACCGGGTACATAATTCATTTACACCAATTATAMTGATTTGTAAGACATTTCTTTAAATGTCTTTAATATTTATGATTTGTCCATTGGTTATAATTTAGTTAACAATAATTAATACGTTTTAATTTGATAGTTTTGATATCTTAATTGAATAAATTATACAGAAATAATTAATGTGGATTGGCTTTCTTAGAAATTAGTAAATATTTTAGTTTATCATGATATTAATTTGAGTTTACTATTCTTATTTTATAATTAGTTTTCATCTAACTGATGTACAATAATATAAATCAATAATCTTGTATATTGTTGTGTACCATTAATTTTAATTGTTAAATTACAATTTTAAATGATAAAACAGTACTTAGATTTTGTATTATCATAGTCTTAAACTATATTTAAATTGTATTTTATTGCTTTTAAAAAGTTAATAAATACATTAGTATTATGTGT